TCTTCGGGGAGCTACTGAGGAAAAACATTTTCCTGATTTGAAGACTATGACCAATACCCATACTTGGGTCACACCCGAGTGTGGAAACCGCTCATCCAGCAATGATGTCTAACTCACAGGGAAAGCGAACCCAGAAATTGTTTCATCATACGACATAGTGAACGGTGCGGGCGAGCGCCGAAACAATTATCGGCTTGCTAAATCGTAGTCCTCCACGCATACAGCCAAATAAACAAAATACTAAATTTAAAGCGAATGTCAAGTAAAAAGGGAAAAACACGTACATTCCCTACCTCCCTGAAAAGAAAAAGCATTCGATATTGGCGCATCAATGCGGTACAGAAGCATAAAAGCACCCGCACCTACTTGAACGCAACCTTAATGAATGCACCCCAACCCACACAACCACATTGTAGAGTGATAATTCCAGTAACAGAGAAGCGTCCGTAACTGCACAGCACCGTTTTCCAGCTTTCATGAGACCCACATTAGGTATACTCTATACGCGTGTAAACGAGTTACTCGGCTTTCATGCCACCCCCCTTTGAGACCCTGCATATGTGTGAGACGATTTATTCGCCATTTCATGCCACGCAACCTTCAGATACTCTACACGAGTGCAGAGGGGGTAGCTGGCCATTCGTGACACCCACACCTACGATACTGTACATGAGGGCAGAGTAGGTGCTCGGCCTCTCCCGACACCCACGCCGGAGATCGTGTATATCTGCGAGACGATTTATTCGCCCTTTCATGCTACGCACCCTTGCGATACTCTACATGAGTGCAGAGGGGGTAGCCGACCATTCGCGACACCCACACCTAAGATACTGTATATGAGGGCAGAGCAGGTGCTCGGCGTTTCGCGACACCCACAGCTGAAGGGTGGTCCCTTTTCGTCTTCATTTTTTTTACGGACATCGGTCGGAGAAGTCCATTCCGAACTTTAGTTTCCGGATGTTCGGAATGAAAACGCCGGAAGGTCGGAATGAAAGAGACCGGGTGCTCGGAATGAAAGTCGTCTAGATGTTCGGAACGGAAAATACAGGATGTTCGGAACCTAAAATGACAGATGTTCGAGACAAAAAGTGACCGATGTTCGGAACGAAAAAATACAGGATGTTCGGAAGAGAAAATAACTTTTTTATAACATGGTTTATTTTCTTTTATTTCCTAGCATAGTCTTTCACAAAACAAAGCATAAGACAACAAAAGTTTATACAAGTGAGAGAATAAATAACTTCTGTAAGAAAAATATTTTATGTCTAATGTTTTTTTGCAGCATCTCTTGTTTTTTTCTTTTTGGATTTTGTTTAATATTGGCATCATCTGTTTCGTCTACTTTTTCTTTCACTTATTGAACTGCTCACTGAACATTTATGAGAATTATTAGAAACTTTTTTGTTACTAGCACCTACCCTTTATAAAACACATAAGTTTATAGCTTTACTACTCATTCCAACTATAAAACACACACCAAAATTCATTTCCAACATTCAGTATTTTTTCGTTCCGAACCTCGGCCATTTTTTATTCCGAACCTCTATGACTCTTCGTTCCGAACATCCTGTATTTTTTCGTTCCGAACATCTGGACCGTTTTTCACTCCGTACACCCGGAGAATCGATTTTACTTTTTATAACCGACTTCAAACATCCGGTCAAATAACATGATGTCCCGATGAGTGAGCACAAAAAGGAACGCACCCCAGCTGAGGCACTCCATTCATGTGGGACGATTTATTCGGCTTTTCGTTCCACGCAACCTTCAGATACAGTATATGAAGACAGAGCAGGTGCTCGGCTTCTCCCGACACCCACGCCGGAGATCGTGTATATCTGCGAGACGATTTATTCGCCCTTTCATGCTACGCACCCTTGCGATACTCTACATGAGTGCAGAGGGGGTAGCCGACCATTCACGACACCCACACCTAAGATACTGTATTTGAGTNCACCTAAGATACTGTATATGAGTGAGAGGAGGTGCTCGACCTTTCGCGACTCCCACTCAAGTAATACTGCATTTGTGTGAGACGATTCATTTGCCCTTTCATGCCACGCACCCTTGAGATACTCTGCATCAGTGCGGAGGAGGTAGCCGGCCATTCACGACACCCACACCTAAGATACTGTATTTGAGTGAGAGGAGGTGCTCGACTTTTCGCGACACCCGCGCTGGAGATCGTGTATATCTGCGAGCCGATTTATTCGCCCTTTCATGACAAGCACCCTTTAGATACTCGACATGATTGCAGAGGAGGTAACTGGCCATTCATGACACCCACACCTAAGATCCTGTATATGAGTGACAGGAGGTGCGCGACCTTTCGCGACACGCACTCATCAGATACCCCATTTGTGTGAGACGATTCATTCACCCTTTGATGCCACACACCCTTGACATACTCTACATGAGTGCAGAGGAGGTAACTGGCCATTCACGACACCCACACCTAAGATACTGTATATGAGTGAGAGGAGGTGCTCGACCTTTCGCGACTCCCACTCAAGTAATACTGCATTTGTGTGAGACGATTCATTTGCCCTTTCATGCCACGCACCCTTGAGATACTNAATATTTTTCGATTTTTAGCCATAGACCCCAACCGGAGATGCCTCTCCATAGCAATATCACCCTTTGATGCCACACACCCTTGAGATACTGTACATGACTGCAGAGGAGGTGCTCGGTCGTTCGCGACACCCATAGCCGAGATACTGCATTTGTGTGAAACGATTTGGGCGCCGTTTCATTCTACAGACCCTTGAGATACTCTGTATGAGAGCTGAGAAGGTGTTGGGCCTGTCGTGCCACGCACTCGTGAGATGCCGTGTATGAGTACAGAGAAGGTGCTCGGCTTTTCGCGACAACCGCAGTTGAGTTGCTGGATGTGTGTGAGACGATTTATTCCCCTTCCGTGCCACCCACCCGTGAGAGACTCTATATGAGTCCCCAGGAGGAATTCGGTCTGTCGTACAATCCGGCTTTGAGATACTGTATATGGGTGCAGAAGAGGTATTTGGCCTGTCATAACACCCACACTAGAGCTTGGAGTGGGAGTGAATGAATGCATTGATGTGTGTTTGTAATTTTTTATTTTGGTGGCGCACCAACATTGAGTGGTCTACGTTTTTGGCGTCGCTACGTGTCTGCCTGTTTTAGGTTGTTTTCTCTGATTCATTGCATATCTAGTGTGTTCCCTATGCGACTCTATCCAGTAAAGACTACAATCTAATGTGTCTACCAGTGTTTTGACGCGTAATCTCTCGCATCGCTCCATGATGTGATGAAGTTGATGCCTGGTTTCTGCCTCGCTGTGAATGGTAGAGGTGACCATATGCACAGTTTCCACAGTCGATTTTTGCGCACGAAGGGATTTGGTTATGGCTTTCGAATCATTAGAGTGATTCTGCTTAGTAGTTGCGGAAGATGTAGGGTGTGTGCGTGAAAGGGTAATATTGCTATGGAGAGGCATCTCCGGTTGGGGTCTATGGCTAAAAATCGAAAAATATTTTTTCATGGGGAGATGCAGCTGTGAGATATGCGATATCTCTCTGTGGCGAAGTGCTACCCAGCCAGACAAACTATAAAGGAAAACGCGTAAAAACGCGTCCAAATTTTAAGAAAAAAAATCGTAAGAAGCGCACATTTTAACGCGTTCAAGTTACTAAACAAACATTGCTTCGTTCAAAAAATTAACGCGTTATTCCGCGTTTTTTCTGTTGTTTATCATACTTGGTCAGTCATCAAGTATTCTGCTTCCGTTATGTTCCTCACTATTGAGATAGCGTGAATTCTAGTGAAACTGATATCAAATAGTGACATTTTTTCTAACTTACTGCGTTCTCCAAGATTCGATCCTACGATGTTCTGATTGAGAGTCGAATATATTATCCATTCGGCTAGTCTTACGATTGAAAGTTATAGTGAAAATACTATTCGAATCGAATAAAATTAGGTGCATAGAGAATGAAATGAATTTGATAAATTAAGACTTAAATTAACATCAGCTGTTTTGAGCTTTCATGAGAAAAAATTAAAACAAATATTCATCCGAAAAATATGCTTATATTTTGTTAGATATTTAAAAAAATTTTTTTCATAATTTTTTTCTGATTATGTTAACACAAATTTCTAAAAAAATTAAAACAATATACAAATATGTAGAAAACATCTACACATTTTTTCAATGATGCATTTGGGAAAAATCTTTGAAAATATTTTTAAAATATTTCTGAAAGTATGTATATTATTTTAAATATTTTTGAGAATATATTTAAAAATATTTGGAATTTTCACATGCGGATTTATTCAAAAAATTCACGTTCATCCAAAATATTGCATCTTTCTTTATTCGATATCAGGATAATTCTTTGTTCCTAAAATATGTCTGCTTTACGATACATGAACATATTTTATGTTGCAGTAGAAATGAGAATTCTACAGAATTCAAAATTCTGCTATTGATGGATATTAATTTCTACCAATGGGTACATAGGATAAGATAAAAAAATCGGCCACCCGATAGATTTCATCCTCAGCGTACTAAAAAGACAGCGGGAAATTCTGCACACTTTTAAACGTGTATTGTATTTTTTTTCTGGCTACAAAAATTTCTCGTAGATAAAATAATAGTAAAATTTTTACGTAATAAAACCTGTTAAGAAAAAAAAATCTTATATCTCGTGAAATTAAAGTTATTAACGCATAAAAACGCATAAATCAAAACATTTTCTACGTATTTTAACTCATAAATATGGTAACGCGTTGAAACGCGTTTGAGAAATCGTTAAAACGCTGTTTTAACGAAATTTAAAGTGGTTTTAACGCGTTATTTTCAAAGGTTTGTCTGACTGGGTAATGTTACTTTATTAGTGAGAAACGTAAGTATGGGTATTCTGCGTAAGTTTGCAAACACGTTCATGTGTAACATCCGTGTAAAAATACTCAATTCCTTAAATTTTTAAGTATAGATAAAATAATTTGACAGAAGCAATATGTGTGCTGCTGCTTCGAATAACACCGTACAACGAAAAATTGCATTACTTATTGGAAATAACACATACAATCAGTCGCCGTTAGATAATTGTGTTAACGATGCGAAGGACTTGAGCGAAGCACTAAAAGCCATTGGATTCTTAGTGACCACTAAATTGAATCTCAATTTCGAGCAGATGGATACAGAAATTGAAGATTTTGCCAAGTCTATTGAACCATACGATCTTGTCGTGTTTTTTTTCTCGGGACATGGTGTGCAATGTAACGATCGGAACTATTTAATTCCCTGCGATGACCAACGTATTCAATCCACACCAGATTTAAAACACCGTGCAGTCAATGCACAAAGGATTCTAGAACTGATGTGCGACAAGAATCCGTTTATGATTGTATGCATGCTTGACTGTTGCCGTACTTATTCACTGCCAAGCGTGCTCAAGTCTAAAGGGTCGAGTGCCACACCAAAAGGAATGGCGGCAATGTGTGCGACGACTAGCACATTGATTGCTTTTGCTTGTGCTCCGGGTACGGTAGCCATTGATGGCTCGCCGAACAATCGTAATGGGTTGTTTACATTTCATCTACTAAAACATGTCACTCGACCTGGAAAAGATATTATTGATATTGTTACAGACGTGGGCTACGAAGTAGCCAAATCTTCGAAAGAACGTCAATTACCCCACGTAACATACGGTCCGATGCCACGAGGAGTTTGTTTGGCATCCACTCAGAATGAGATTGCAGAGTCGAATTCGCGGCAAGGTGAGCATAATTCTATTTTCATTTAATTCATAATCAGCAATCAAACGACAGAAAGTAGTCCTTTGAGTTCCTTGCTCTCGACTGATTTTTAAAAAGTAATTTCTTTACGATTGAGCGCACCCATTAGTGTGCATGCCAAGTCCCCATTAGATAGAGAGACAGAGCGTTACTATAGATTCAAGACAGTTAGTAAAAAAGGTACACACTTGAACCAAATTCCCTCTGCTGAAAGGAGGGTCTTACACCGAAATGAGTTGCTTCGTTCGTTCATAAGTTCGCACAGAATGAAAACAATTTTCATGAACCTTTCACATCCACTTTTCCTGTAAAGGTTGACTGAATGCAATCAGGATTGGGGAACTCGAATCCGTTGTTGGTTGTTTTGAAATTTTGATTTTTGATTTTTTAGGGGAGAGATAGAGTTTTTTACGAAAAAGGAGCTGGTGGCTAGCCGCGAGTGGCGCCCCATAAGGACGCCGACGAACGACCAGCCGCTGAGTGAAAGGTTTATTGAAGACAGTGCTTGATAATTCTGAGATCTATGCACTAACTTTCTGCGGCTCGCGGACCGTTTTTCGACGAGAAGAGCTCATTGGACGAACAAAACAAGCAGCATCTAACTGTCACCTAGTTTTGTGTTTATATTGTGTGGACAAGTATATCTGTGTTAAGGGAAACAATCTTTGTAAATAAACGAAGTCAAAATCCTCGAGATTTTCTATAGGAAATGAGGATGTATCTGCGAAGTATTTTTGAAGCATGATTGTAGATAAAAAACCATTGGATCATTGTAACCAATTGAATGGCGATATACTCATCAGGTGTACTGTATTGTCGCTTTATATTGGTTGACGCGAAACGTCAAAAAACAATTATATTATAATATAGGCTCATTTAACCAATATAAATTTCAAACAGTTTAATTTTAATTTATTTTAAATTTAACTTTTCATTAAAAAAAATTTAATCTACTTTAAATTTAAATTTTGGAAAATTTATTTCTCGCCCATGGAAAAATATTCGTCATAATGAACGTGAAAGAGCGCGTTTTCGAAAAAATTGAACGTATTTTATCGACTAAAAACGCGTTCTAAGAACAAATTAACGCGTTCAGACGCGTTTCGCAAAATTGTGAACGCGTTCGAACGCATACTTGTTGGTAAGCAACGTGTTTTTATTATATTGAACGCATTAATAGTGGAAGCGTCTTTTATCGTACGAACGCTTTCAACTTATATGCGTTTGAACTTGTTCGCGAGTAATTCGTTCTTATAGTTAGAAAACCCGTTTCTCCAAAAACGCTTGAAAACGTATACTGAAGAACTTCTTCGGCAACTTTCAGAACGCGTTTTTTATGTAATGAAAATTACTCATTTTAACTTTATGGAATTCATTATTTGAAATATATCGAAATACATATAACGAAAGTGCTATGCCAATTAAGAAATATGTGTTAACATGAAAAAATTTCTTTCTGTTGCAATGCACTGAAAGGTAGCGTCTTGCTGGGTAAAGTGATCATCTATCTAGAGTTCCGTAATAAATGATTTTCCTTTTTTCTAAACTAGTTTTTTTATCAAACGAATTAGCTAATCTTGTGCTTTTTTAATGTACATTCTCAAATCGTATATTCTTTCTTTTATTTGAAAAATAGTAATCAGGAAGGTTTCGGTTGATTCTAAACATTAAACAGAAATTTTGAAAAAGTTATACTAGTGCATGCCTCAAATGCATTTATCACATTTTTACTTTCCATCGAAGGCATCAATTATTTTTGCTCATAATAAAAATCAGAATTGTCCATCGGTTTCTAATTAATTTCTATTAAATTTAGCGTTTGTCGATTCAAATTTATAATGAATTTAACTTTAAAAGAAAATTATATTTACTCCAATCGATCGTACAATGTAAATTTAATTTAAACCAATATAATTAGACTTAAATTCGATAAAAATCGCAGTAAATGAATTTCGATCAGATAACGAATATTTAAGTCTAATTACATGAGTTTTAATTAATGTAAGCTAGATTGGAAAACTTTTATTAAATGTCAAAAAATATTAAGACGCCAAATTTCCAATCTTTTTTTTGAAAGAAGTTTAAGTTTTTTAAATTTATTTTTGAATTTATTAAATTTTTTGTAAACGTAAATGGATCAGTCTTAAGTTTAAATTTCGTTAAGCCAGAATAAATTTTGTTTAATACAAATAGAAAACTCAGTACTTCAAATATACGTAAGTGTAGTTCATTCGGATAATCACTACTTCGAAACTACAAGTTTATCTGATCGAATCCACTCTACGGTAGTAAAATCAAAACGAAGTGGAACGCGTTCTGTGCGAACACAAGTATTCGAATAGAGGAACCAGCAGTCTGAGAACTTATACAAATAGCAAAGGAACACGTTCGAGAGCATTATAGAGTTGAAATTACAATAAATAAATGATTTTTTTCTTCTAAATAAGAACGTGTTCTTACCGCGAAAAACGTGTTCTTATGGAGCGATCAGAACGGGTTCCTTTTATTCAAAAGAACGCGGTTTTCATTACACAAACGCGTCTCAAAAGGTCGAAAAAAGCGTCTTCACAACGCAGTCTTTTAACTGGACAACGCGTTCTTATCCGTTCTTTTTTTGAATTTTTTTTCCATGGGGATCATATTCTATTCCCATGTAATGAGAATTAATTAACACTAACATATCTGTGTATATTTCTTGTTACATTGTTTCCCTTAATTGGCTTAGCTTGTATACATGTATATCATAATTGACCGAGTATATGTGTTTTGTGAAAGAGAATAATTAGTCGTGTTTGCTATACAATAATGGATACTAGATTATTTCTCTATTTCTCATAAAGTACAGTTTAACTACATATCCAGTTTGACTCAAGCTATTCCCTATAAACTTAATTCATCTATAATACATTTCAACAAATTGTGAAGTAGATTAAAAAGTTTTTATTACGCCAAGCTATAAATGGCTGATGTTCGAAACAAAAGGAAAGTCTGAAGAAAGAATAAGACTAATATCATTGTCACATTTTCAACGTAATAAAGTTGGAAGAAAATCTTATCACGAATTATATCCAGATATAATAACTGAATTAAAAAAATTATTAAATACACACAGTGGTTCTGCACAAGATAGACGTCGTGACGATGCAATACGTTTCAATGGTTTATCGATAGTTGATTGTAATAAACATATTAAAAAAAGATTAATGAAAAAATACTCAAAAATCAATAAAATATCAAATTCTACTATTCGTCGTTATTTTTTACCTCCAAAAAATAATATTCAAAGTAGTAAATTTTACAAAAGTCATATATTAGCGAAAATTCCACAAAAACGTAATTCAAAATCGATAAAAGAGCATTGTGACTTTCATTTTACATGTGCGTTAGTCAATTACGTCGAAGAATTGTCTAGTTTATACAACGACGAAATATTAGCACTATCCTGTGATAATAAAGCAAAAATACCATTAGGTGAGCATACTTTAGAAAGAATGATCTAAACTGAATTTCATCTTTTCAAAAATTTTCTTGGAAGTGATTTCTTTCTATTTTCCTCTTTCAGTTATTCTTCAGATTGATATCACCCTATACACTAATGGGTCTAATTGACACATAGTACATCAAAGAGTGAGGGCATCAAAGAGTGTGGATACCGCGGTGCCGTTGATGGGAAGAAGTGCTCTTCTTTCTTTTTTCTAGCTTTCTATTTTCTTCACAATATAACAGACCTCGTGTGCGAAAAAAAAATAACTCGAAACATGTCTTTTTAGGTGCACCCGCCGTTAGCCGTTATGTGCGTAGTAGAAAATTTCATCTGGTTGAAAAGCAGCCAAATTTACCTGATCATGATTTTCCAAGACATGGTATTAGAATCAATCCATCTGCATATGCTGTATTATCAAATCAACGGAAACGATCATCTAGTATTGATAGTCATCCATCATGTGAATTGAAGGTCAAGAAAAGATCAAGATCTTGCGATGATCGATTATTTCCAGATATAAAATATGATACTAATATGGTCGGTCAACTGTTTTATTCACTTCAGAGTCAAAAACTAATAACTAATGAGTCTTTTTGTTTTTTATTCATTTAGACGACTGACAAAAGAAATCTTGAACATGTTACATGGAGTAGAACCGGGCAATGATTTATTCGTCCATTTGGTTCTGGCACTGATCAAGCAACAAAGGCAACGAGTGAAGTTCATATAAATAATTTACAAAACATAACAACCGAAAATAATATGTTACTTAAAAAAAGTGTTATTACACTCATATCTGATAACGGTCCAGACTGGTGCGCTGATTGTACGGCGAACATTTATAATTTAGGAAGGTTTTCGGAAGAACAAAAGCTAGATGCACTAATTTGGGTTAGCTATGCTCCAGGACATAGTCGCTTTAATCCAATTGAACGTATGTTGTTAAGATTGACCGACTTATTACAAGGTGTTATTTTTGATCTGGATCCCTCATTTAAAGAAAAATCGCAACAAGCTGATATGGCATTAGTTGAATTATGCAAATACTGGAATGATTAAAAATTTTGTAATTATAAAATTGATTGTCGGCCAATGTTTTCTGTTAATGGAAATCTATTTGACGGCCATGAAAAATTAAAGAACTTATTTATGAATAAATCACAAATACAAATAAAACAAAATACAAATATCCAATTTAGCTTACAACTTTATCTTCGTCATTGTGTTCGCTCAACATATTATACATCATTTATTAAATGCAATGATATATATTGTGTGCATTGTTCTCGTTATCCAATTTGTGCTACAAAAACAATGTCTTTACTTCGTGCTGGTGGTGGCTATATCCCTTAGCCAGCAATGACCTATAGTAATAAACATTACGATACATTTTTACAGCGAGCATATGCAATATTATTCGGTGAAAGAAATCTTTATCCAGATGAACATTTATTATCCGGACCAAAGGTCACATGTTCGAAATGCAAATTACCATACGTATTTCTATCAAAAGCAGATGAAGAAAGGCATAATCAATGGATACATGCGCCAACACAAGAACTGAAAAGATCTTCAACTGGAGTCAATAAAATCGTAAAACGAAGACGTTCTCTTCCCCCTGAATATTAATTAAGATGTTCACACTAATATTTTTTTTATTGTAATTCTTCTGATTAGTTGATTTGAAAGAATTTCAATAAATTTAACTTACCTAAGTAGAGAGATTTTTATGTAAAAATGAAGCTCGTCGTTTTTGGAGAAAATGAATAGTATGTGGTTAAAGAATATCGAATAGAGAAAGAGCAACATATATCGTATATATCGATCGACAGAAAGATACAATGTGTGAAAATGTAATTAAAACAAATTGTTTATGCCGCGGTAGAGCGGCGTGTGAACGGCAGAGCGACTGAACGGCAGAGCGGCTGATCGGCTGAGCGACTAAGCGGTCGGCCGGACGGCAAACATTTTGATATGCTCCCTAAATGGGACTGATTTGAGATCTGTGGCTGCTACAAGCGGCTCAGGTACATCGCCATTATCAGAGTGCGTTCAATTCAACACGATTTTGCCGGTTTTAACACAATTAAAAATTATTGAGTAATTTCTATCCTAAAAAAAAGGATGCATCACTTTCATGAAAAACCGCCGGTACTCTATTCTTTAGTCGGTAAATCAGAATTCAAATCTACCCCTCAATTGTGACGGAACGACTTGTTCGTTCCTTCTTTTTATTCAGAATGATGTTTTTTTAAGTAACAAATGCTGATATGCATAATATAAACAATGAAGAAGAAGAAAAAAGAGAAGCAAATGTAAAGTAATGATTAAACGATAAGAGTGATTAATGAGTACATGCACTCTTGAAGGAGTCATGATGGATGAAATCCATCACATACCCCTCCGCTATGGTGCGAGTGCACCACATGAACATAAGTAGAGTGTGAAGGTAAATAATTATGATGAGAAATTACAAACAACACGAAAAGAATGGAAGAATAAACGTCAGCTAATAACACATATGCGGGTGTGTGTGTGATGCCAAATCTTGCTCTCGCCCACACCCACACCCACACCCTACAATTACATGATAATGTGTTAGCGTTAGTGATGAATCACACTAACGCTACAACGATGAACAAGATGTGCCTTCTAGTCTAATTGGCTTAGGACAACGAGGGGTGCGTCGATACGGATACAATTTGT